CGACACTTGCTGCTCTTGGGTTTGCTCCGTCGACTGCTGACCCGTCACTGTTTCTGCGCATTGTCACTTCTCTGCCGCCGTTCTACATCCTCGTGTACGTCGACGACTTGGTCTTTGCCACTGCTGACACTGAGGCTCTCGTCCTCGTTAAGTCGGAGCTGCAGAAGAGACATACGTGCACAGACCTGGGTGAGCTGCGCAGTTACCTTGGCTTGCAGATCACCCGGGACAGAGCACGCCGCACCATCACACTGACTCAGTCACACATGGTGCAGCAGGTCCTTCAGCGCTTCGGCTTCACCGCGTCATCGCCACAGCACACCCCTCTGGCTATAGGTCACTCGCTCTCAGCTCCACCTTCGGACGAGTCCGTAGAGCCGAGTGGTCCTTACCCAGAGCTAGTGGGCTGCCTTATGTACGTGATGACCTGCACTCGTCCTGACGTTGCGTACCCTCTTGGCCTTCTGGCTACGTGGCTCCTGGTAGGCACTGAAAGGTGCACATTGATGCTTATAAGAGGGTAGTGCGCTACTTGTGCAGTACATCGGGCATGGGGCTCGTGCTTGGAGGACGGGGCGACGTTGTCCTCACTGGGCACTCAGACGCTTCTTGGGTTGACGACCTGGCTACGCAGCGGTCGTCACAGGGTTACACCTTCAGCCTTGGCTCTGGCTCTGTTTCCTGGCGTTCTACACGCTCGTCTTCAGTTCTCGGCTCCAGTTGTGAGGCTGAGATCAACGCCACAGCCATGGCTGCACAAGAGCTCCGCTGGCTCACCTACCTGCTGACAGATCTGGGAGAGCGGCCTCGTTCTCCTCTAGTGCTGTACGTAGACAACAAGGCCGCCATTGCCTTGTGTAAGGAGCACAGACTGGAGCACAGAACGAAGCACATCGCTCTGCGTTACTTCCTTGCTCGAGAGTTGCAGCAGCGTGGTCAGCTTCGTCTTGCTCATGTGGCCACTCGGGCCAACACTGCTGATATATTCACCAAGGCACTTCCGTCTGGTGATCATCAGCGTTTTTGTACTTTGTTAGGCCTTGTGCCCACGTTTCCTCACTTGCTGTAGACTTTGCTTGTACCATGATCTATATATACCTGCATGCTTGCTCTGCTAGGTAGAGATCACTGTGCTGTTGTTGTTGCATACATACATCTGCATGTGAACTGGCCTTGTGGCCCTTTGATTGTGCTCAGTGTGTGTGGTGACGTTGTGATCCACCCTGAGGTTGCTTTGCTTCTCTTGACTGGTCTTGTGACCCCTTGTTCTCCCCCACTTTGCCTATGGGGGTGTGTCAAAGTATATGCATGTTTTATATGTGTAGGCTGTAGTGGGGTAGCCAATATGGGGTACAGCCCCTTTTAGGGTTTCATACTTGTACCCAACTCTTCCATAGTTGATTCATTCCTTTCTCTAGATTCTAACAGCGTCTTCCTCGAAAGAAGAAAGCGCCTGCAGCCTCGTCGAAGGGTTTACTAATCGACAAAACTACGAACTTTTTTCTCCCGTGTGCCCGAAAATTTGTTGCTACACACTGCCCTGGTACTCTTCCAAAGTCATTTTTTCGCAAATTGATGCTCTGGAGTGTTAGTCTTACTGGCTAGCCGTTGGATTGTTTTGGTGTGAGTATTCCACCGAACAAATACCCCAAAATGGGCGTTTGCATCTGCCAGTTACTGGTTGTGCGCCTTTTCAATCCCCCCTCTATGAGCGCATAGGGCTCGTACAGGCCATGCGGGAAATTTGTCTGTGGAACCAAGCTCGTGGAATTTTCTCAGCGCACTGAGAATACAGCGTTCTTGTGCACGCATGAGTAATGCGCGCACAACTCCCGCACCAGAGGTTCGGGAGACAATAACGATTTGGGAGGCTCGACGTAGGCTTTAAGCCTTGTTATGCGCGTTCCGAGAATGCTCATCGTTAGGGTTGAGCACCGCTAATGCGCCAACAGAACAGGGCCAAAGTCAACTGGCACGGAACCTGCACGGGATCTGGGTTTGAAGCTGCGCGGTAATATCCATGGCGGACTCATAGCAGCTCTTGTGTCGCAAAGGATAAGTCAATAATAACATTAGTTTGTAAAGTACTCAAAACGAAACGCGCTTGACTTTGAGGACAAAGTTTCCCCGCTATTGTGTGTCGTGCCACTTGAGAGTTCGGCAACCAACCATGGTATGGTCTTGTTCTGTTGTCGGCTTGATCGAGCCGCCGCTTTCTCACTCGAACCACAGTGGCACCGCCGCTTGCCTACAAACAGTTCCTTCGTTTTGATTGGCTTGACAAGCACCGGCCGTCATCACGCCGTGCCAGTCCGTCTGTTCTTCCAAGGCCGAACAGCAACCGCGTTTCCCCCCGTTCCTCCACTCTAGCTAGAGGCGCAGCAAGCAGGAAGCACACTGGTGCAGCATTCGCCTCGCCACAGCAAATGCCGCTTCCCTCAGCTCACTCAGACACTACATATACCGCTTCATGGCAATGCTTTCTCCAAAATACACTACTCATCATTCCCGACAGAGTTGATTCGACTTCGATTTACCACAATGACTTCGATTACACCTCGAGAGGATAATCTTAGCATCGGTCCTAAAAGCTGTCATCTCGCTTACTCTGGACAGCCTTAGTTGTGAACAATCAGCATCATCTCTTACGAACGCGTCACCTCGTATACTCCAGAGCATTTCTCATCCTATTTTCGTCGCAGCGACACCTACCGAAGCTATCATGGCTATTTCGCGCTCACACTCGTTTCTCATCGCGGCGCTGCTGCTGCTCGCCGCTTGCCACACGGACGCAGCGCCGACGGTGGCGCAATTCCGGGCGGAACTCAACGCGCTGAAGGCGGTGTTGGCCAAGACGAAGGAATACTCGGCGTTCGGGAAAGGCGTCGATAAAATGCGTGAGTACTGCTCCCCTCCACGCCTTGCTGCTAAACATCCCTTCTTTAATCAGCTTCGCGCACCCCTTTCGCCAGCGGAACACATTTCGGACGTTTGGTTAGGGTTCCTATTGAGTGACGAACCGCAATGCAACAAACAGGTTCGCATATTGAACACGAAAAACCAGGCACGCTTCTACGTTGAAGTGTTTCGCCAGCTCTTGCCTATCCACTCATCCTCTCCTCTCCCCACTGCCGCAACCCACCCATCCCGCTCTCTCCCCTATAACAGTGAAGTATCCCGACGCGCAGCTGCCGCAGCTGTTCAACACGACGCTGCTGGTGCCGACGAACAAGGCGGTGTACGGCGTGGGGATCAAGACGCTGCAGAACACGACGGCCATGGAGGCCATCGGCAAGTTCAACGTGCTGCAGCGCCAGTTCACCGCCGCGCAGCTGCTCAACCTCAAGCCCAACACGCCGCTGCGCACCAAGGCGCCACCCACCGACCTGCTGCAGCGCTACCCCTCCGTGGGCGCTAATGCTGGCAAGGCCGTGCTGGGCCCGCGCAATGCGACTGCTGCCGTGCAGGGGGTGGTGCTCTTTCCTGACCTCTACTCGGGCAAGTTCCTCAAGGCGCATGGCCTCTCCGTGTTCTTCCGCCCCAAGGGCTACTGACTGCACCTCCTAAGAGCTACTGACTGCATCTCCCTAAGGGCTACTGACTGCATCTCCCTAAGAGCTACTGGCTGCATCTCCCTAAGGGCTACTGACAGTGCTGCCCCTGCCACGCGAGGTTGACGGGGTAGTGTAACTAGTAGGGTTCCCTGGAGCTGACCCAGTTAGGTTATATTCATGCAGCCTGGTGTCAGAGCCTTGTGTCAGGAGGGTTTGGTTTGGAAGTCCTCCCTTGGCCACACTGGTACCGCATGAGGCCAGTGGCAAGGCTGGACTGTCATCCTGACACAATGCTCTGACACTAGGGTTAGTTAAGGCCCTTCGAACATGCATGCCATTTTGACAAGTTGAACAAGACTGCAAAGTTATTCCAAAGGAAGTGCTGGCTTTTCTTACCCTTACTCACGTGGGAATCAGGGCCCACAATTGGTTTAGGCCTACCCTTACAAATCAGGGTTCCAGCCACTCCTCCCCCGACCCCTAGGGTAAAAAATTTCGTACCCTGTTTGCAGCAGGGTAAATTAACCACTAGCCTGATTTGAGCAGGGTAGTTTTAGGCCAACCCTGTATCAGTTACTATTTTGTGAGTTAAGTTATTACAATGACATAATAAAGTAGCACTCACAAAGTCCATGAGCTCTGGAAGAGCATCACATTCACAACACACCTACTCAGTGCCACCCCCACTGCCTACTTCTTCTACAACCAATGAGGCGGCATGGCGTGTCGCCGACAACGAATCTTGGTTGTATGCCAGTGGTAAGAAACGACAACGCTTGTTTGTGTGGGTGTGGTTCAGTTCGTCACCAAGCGAAGTATGGCCTGATCCGCGGTAAAAAAACATACACCCGACCCTGATACTGTCAGGCTAACCATAAATCCTATCAGGGTGAAAAAAACATGCTCTTTTTGCATAAGGGTAACTTTTGTGGAATCCTGATCCCGGCAGGGTAATCCTGAAAAAGCGGCCTGCCCCCAGGGTAATCAGGGCATTTTACCCTGATATTTTGGGCCCTGGTGGGAATGGCTGGCTTTGAGGGAATGCATGGTTGGCTTTGAGGGAATGCATGGTTGGCTTAGAGGGAATGCATGGCTGGCATTGAGGGAATGCATGGCTGGCTTTGAGGGAATGCATGGCTGGCTTTGAGGGAATGCATGGCTGGCTTTGAGGGAACGCATACAATTACGGTAGAATGCTTTGGTAACACTGTCACTTAGCACCTTGTGGTACCCATTACAGCCCACAGGTGACGCTCTCCCATTCCATTCCAGCGCTGTGCAACAGTGCTACCGACCCGAAGAACTTATCTTCCCAGTATAAAGATTTTGTTACATTATACAGTACAGAATAATGAATGCGTTCATGTGCTGCACGACGTGACAGCTTCAGGAAAGGACGTGCATGCATAATGATGGCACGGGCCGGCATCATGGCACATGGCAGGGTCACAGGCCAGGCGGTTGCAGGGAGGGTGGGAGCAGGGAGGAGAGGTTGAGAGGCAGCGAGATGACAGCGCTCTGAGCGGGGTTCATGCGGCTCCTCTGCTCCCACGCCTCCCACCACGGCCCACCACCCACCTCCACCGCTGCTGCTGTGCTCTCCGCCCGCAGGAGCAACTGGTGGGAGGAGGGGTTGTGTGTGATGGCATGGGGGGTTTTATTACAATACAATGGAGAATCCAACTCCTTTCAGTTCAGGGGTTTCTGCCTTGCTGCTGCCTTGCTCCCTGTCTCTAGGAACAAGTGGTGGGAGTGGGGGAGGGGGGGTAATAGGCCTGCGGGATGTGCAGCAAGGGAAACATTGTACAAATGGAGAAAAGCTAATTGTTTCAAGGACCGCCACCCCTGCTGAAGTGTTTTGTGCTATTGAAAGTAGCTGGTGGGAGCATGAAGGGACAGTATGGCATGGGGAATTCTTAAGAAGGTAAGATTAACACTTTGAAGGTGCTGCCTTGCTGCTGTCCGTGGCGCCAGGAGAATCTGGTGGGAGTGGGTGGGAGGCAGTTAGATGGAACGATTGAGAGATGTGCAGAAGAGTGATAGTTTTGTGAATTGTAATGTACTCTTTCAAGGCGCTCAATGCTCTCTGCCTGCTACTCTTTCTTAGACGCCTCAAAAACAAAGTGACAGTTATTCGGCCCACTGCTGCCTTAGTTTCCAGACGTCTCAAAGTCAGCACGACAGTTATTTTGCCCCCTGCTGTCTCAGAGTGGAAACGTACTCGTCCAAAGGGTACAGTTCCCTCTGCTGCTGCGCTACACCTATCCGTGGCCGTAAAATACACGGGCATTGAGAGGTGGGGTAGCAAGGGAGAAGAAAAGAAGACGCGAGTGATCCAGATGGGGAATGACCAGACCAGCTGCAAGCACGGACGCATCTCTCCATGCATCGATAAAGCCTCACATGCCCCACCTGCCCCGGGTACCCACCTTCCCTGCCTCACATGCCCCACCTGCCCCGAGTACCCACCTGCCCCGAGTATCGCTGGCGCAGCTCCAGCTTGACCCGGCCGTCAAATGAGTCCTTGCAGAAGAATCGCATTCCCTCCGCTGTTGGCGCTCGCAGAGGCGTGCCGTTATCGCCCGGGAGTGTGTGCGCCTCCACTGTCACCTGAGAGAGGGGGGGGGTGGAAAGGGGGAAGAGCATGGTGAGGACTTCTAAGGCACCTCGCATGCCGTTATCGCCCGGGAGTGTGTGCGCCTCCACTGTCACCTGAGAGGGGGAAAGGAGCGAACAGGGGGGATAAGGGCAGGTGGGGGGCGTGTGAAGCTGCCCGTCAAACAAGTCCTTGCAGGCGATTCTCATGGCCTCTTGCGGCGATTCTCATGGCCTCTTGCTGCGATTCTCATGGCCTCTTGCGGCGATTCTCATGGCCTCTTGCGGCGATTCTCATGGCCTCTTGCGGCGATTCTCATGGCCTCTTGCGGCGCCACATAAGTCCTCGCAGCACAATCTCATGCCCTCCGCAGACAGTGTTGCTTCTGAGAATTCTCAAGAACCGCATGTCCTCAACTGTCGGTGCTCGCAGGGGCATGCGGCTGCCACCTGGTAGTGCAGTGCAGTGTGTGCGCCTCCACTGGTACCTGGTAGAGGGGTTTTGAGACGTCTCAAAAACATCTCTGTTGAAACGTGGCTCGCAGGGGCATGCGGCTGCCATCTGGTAGTGTAGTGTGTGCGCCTCCACTGGTACCCGGTAGAGGGGAGGGAGTCAACAGGGGGATAATGACAAAAACGTTTGGGGGGCATGTGAAGTTGCACAGTTGCGCAGCAGCGTGTGAAGTAGCAGCGTGGAGTAGCAGCGTGGAGTAGCAGCGTGAAGTAGCAGCGTGAAGTAGCAGCGTGAAGTAGCAGAGTGAAGTAGCAGCGTGAAGTAGCAGCGTGAAGTAGCAGCGTGAAGTAGCAGCGTGAAGTAGCAGCGTGAAGTAGCAGCATGCCCACTGCCCTGGTCGCGCAGCAGTGTGTGTGTTTGCACAGTTTCTTGGGGAGATGGTGGGGAAAGCGATGAGGTGATGACACAAGTCGCCACTGCCCGCTGTTTGCAGTGGGGGGCGTGCAGTGGGGGGCGTGCAGTGGGGGGCGTGCAGTGGGGGGCGCACAGGGAGGGGCGCACAGGGAGGGGCGTTGAAAATGAAAGTGAAAGAAACAACTAACTCACTCCTAAATCTCACCTCATTCCACTCCTCCTCACCTCTCACTGCTCGTCCCACCTCGTACCAATCCCCCTCGCCTCACACCACTCCTCACCTCCCCCACTGCCCTTTCTCACCTCACACTGCTCCTCCTCACCTCACACCATTTCTCTCCATCTAATACTGCTCGTTCTCACCCCACAAAATTATCCTCACTGCACACTCCTCCTCACCTCATACTGTTCGTTCTGAGCGTGCATGTGCCAGCTGCCCCACGGCTGCACCTTCCACTCCACGGCGCCCCTGTTGGGCACAAACTCGATGAACTGCCCCTGCCAGTGCAGCCCCACCTGTATGTAAACAGAACCACAGAGGAGGCGGGTATGTGGGGATTCTAAGAGGGCCTCAAGGAAGGGAGGAGTATGGGAGTGACTGGCACTCCACCACGCCCCCGTTGGGCATAAACTCGATGAACTGGCCCCGCCAGTGCAAGCCCACCTGCCATGGAAACAAAGGCAAGAGAAGGGTTGGCAAGAACTTCTGAGGTGCCTGGAAGAATGGGAAAGGTTAAGGTGGGGAGGAGGGGGGCACTCCACCAGACCCCTGTTGGGCAGAAACTCTATCAACTGCCCCTGCCAGTGCACCCCCACCTGCCACGCACAGCATGGAGGGAGGGGGGCGAATAGTGGGACCTTTGAGGGGGGCGAATAGTGGGACCTTTGAGGGGGGCGAATAGTGGGACCTTTTAGGGGCGCTCAAGGAAGGAGGTATAAGAGGGACGGGCCACTCTATTGCGTTTATGAGCCCACCTCTGGCAGGGGAAAGAAAGATAATAAATGGCAAGAGGTGGGTTCTTTCGAATACCACGACACGGCTAAAGCGTCAGAAGTTTCACGCGTGGTTTTCGGGGTTAAAGTCTCTGAACCCTGCAAGTTCCTCACTCCTGCACAATTCCCCGCGGCATGCCAGATAACGAAGAAACACGAAGGCATGAAGTGGGGGGAGGTGGTGGCCATCCTGTCAAACGGTTCGGAAGAAGAGATTAAACCCTTCCCACACGACTTTCCCCCTAGCACAAGCCTTCCTCCCCTCCTCTGACCTCTCCCTGCCGTGCGTGGTAGCGGCGGCGCTGGCAGCCATGGCACGGGCTGTGGACGCAGGCAACATGCACCATAGCAGGGCTGCCATACCCATACATCCTCAGCTCACTGCCATGCTCTTCTGCAGTCATCAGCTCTTCTTCCTCCCGCCTCTCCTCAGCACTTTCCTAAATTCGACAAACAGCCATTTAATTTCTTCTTCCGAATCGTTTGACAGAATGGCCACCACCTCCGCCCACTTCATGCCTTCGAATTTCTTCCTTATCTGGGATGCTGCGACGAATTGTGCAGGAATGAAGTACTTGCAGGGTTAAGGGACTCCAAACCCGAAAACCACGCGTGAAACTTCTAACGCCTTGCCAGCTGTGTCGTAGTTTCGAAAGAACTCACCTTTTACCGTTTATTAACTGCCCCTGCCAGTGCAATCCCACCTGCCACGCACAGTATGGAGGGGGGTGACTAGAAAGGGAGGTATAAGGGGGACGCGCCACTCCACAGCGCCTCTGTTGGGCACAAACCCTATGGATTGCTGTGCTGTGCACGCCCACCTGCCATGCACAGCACACACAAGAGTAGAGGAGAATGTGGAGGGTTTAGGAGGGAGGGCCACTACGTCACGCCATTACGATTAAGTGGAAAGAGCATCAAGAGAAACGATTCCACCATGCCCACCTTCGTCTCACCAAGCCCTCTCTATCTCACCATGCCCCACCCCACCATGCCTCACCATGCCCACTTCCTCTACAGAGTTGGCGAGCAGAGGCACGTTGAGCTGCCGCTTCGCCCCCGCCACTGTGAGCGCCCTTTTTGGCACCTCAACCATATACCCCTGCCTCTCTCTCAGCATACCCCGCCTCTCTCTCTCAGCATACCCCGCCTCTCTCTCTCAGCATACCCCGCCTCTCTCTCTCAGCATACCCCGCCTCTCTCTCTCAGCATACCCCCGCGTCTCACCATGCCCACTTCCTCAACGGAGTTGGCGAGCAGAGGCACGTTGAGCTGCCGCTTCGCCCCCGCCACGGTGAGCGCCACTGCGGACCCCAGTGACACGTGCGACCACACATTGCACTGGATCTGGTGGGAGAGGGTGGAAGGGGGAGGGAAAGAGCGTGCAATGTGGGGAGAAAGGGGACCAAAGAGAGCCACTGCGGACCCCAGTGGCACGTGCGACCACACATTGCACTGGATCTGGTGGGGAGAGAGGGGGCTAAGGAGGCGGGAATCGGAGAGAGAACAGGGAAGGGAAGAAGAGGGGGGAAGCAGTGGATGGCACGGATAGCTTGCGGAACTGTGATGTGAACCATGCATCAAACTGCCCACAGTGAAGCCCCACGTACCAGAGAAGCTCAGGTGCCTCAGCCTCTATGCCTACAGAACAGACTTCAAACCCGCGAGCCAAATTGTTTGAGGTTAGGGCGAGAGACATTCCCAAAACGCAAATCCGAAAGCTCCCCTTGAATGAAAGTGTATCGTACCCAGAACCACTTGAGGGGGAAGGCGCCGCCCCAGTTCTTCTCAGAGTAGGTGCCGGCGTCTGTGAACTCAATGCGGTGTCCCTGCCACTCCACCCACCCGCTCGCTCGCCCCATCGCCATGCACACCTGCACGGGGGGAGGGGGGGGTGCATGGCAGGGGTATGAATGATGGGTGGAGAGGGGTGCAGGGGGGTATGAGGAGGTGATGGCCTCGCGCCAGTTCTTCTCAGAGTAGGAGATGGCGTCTGCTTTTGAGGCGCCACAAAAGTAGGCGTCTGTGAAGTCAATGCGGTGCCCCTGCCACTCCGTCCACCCGCTCGCTCGCCCCATCGCCATGCACACCTGGGTGAGGGAGTTGGGGGGGGATGTACGACGGGAGGTACGATGGGTGGGGAGGGGTGCAGGGGGTTATGAGGAGGCGAAAGGGTGATGGCAAGGTAGCAAATCAGCTGCCACATCAGCTGCATCCACAAATGCAGTCTCTTCAGTCAACTGTAAAAAACAACCCGTGAGGCTTCCCGAGCATACTTCCCACCCACCTCACATCTCAATCTCTCGCCACGTCACCCTCACCTGCCAGTGCGGTTCAAAAGCTGGCAGGGCAGAGAGCCAACCAGCGGTTGACAGCTGTGTGCCGCCCCTGGGGCCCCAGCCATCGATGGGCGTCACCTCGTAGCGCCACCGCACTATGCTGCTCGGGAGAAGAGTGGGAAGATAGAACAGAAAGTTGGCAATGGAGTTTTGAGTATGGCATAGAGAGATGTAGCCAACCAGGAGGGAAGGGATGATGCCCTGAGAGGCCAGTGGGATTGTGGGGAGGGAGGGAGGGAGGGAGGGAGGGAGGGAGGGAGGGAGGGAGGGAGGGAGGGAGGGAGGGAGGGAGGGAGGGAGGGAGGGAGGGAGGGAGGGAGCGAGGGAGGGAGGGAGGGAGGGAGGGAGGGAGGGAGGGAGGGAGGGAGGGAGGTAGGGTGGGAGGGAGGGAGGGAGGGAGGGAGGGAGGGAGGGAGGGAGGGAGGGAGGGAGGGAGGGAGGGAGGGAGGGAGGGAGGGAGGGAGGGAGGGAGGGAGGTAGGGTGGGAGGGAGGGAGGGAGAGAGGGAGGGAGGGAGGGAGGGAGGGAGGGAGGGAGGGAGGGAGGGAGGGAGGGAGGAGGGAGGGAGGGAGGGAGGGAGGGAGGGAGGGAGGGAGGGAGGGAGGGAGGGAGGGAGGTAGGGTGGGAGGGAGGGAGGGAGGGAGGGAGGGAGGGAGGGAGGGAGGGAGGGAGGGAGGGAGGGAGGGAGGGAGGGAGGGAGGGAGGGAGGGAGGGAAAAAAGGGAGGGAGGGAGGGAGCAATGATGCCCAGAACTCGTGTGCAGGCAAGCCAAGCAGGGGGCAGGTGAGCAGAGAGCAAGCTTGTTCTACCACCTGAATGGCGTGAGAGCACTCAACCATTACCAGGCGCAGCAGCAGCACCAATGCACCATCACCACCGCCATCACTATCACTATCACCATCACCATCACCAACACCATCACCATCACCATCACCATCACCAACACCATCACCATCACCATCACCATCACCATCACCATCACCAACACCATCACCATCACCATCACCATCACCATCACCATCACCATCACCATCACCATCACCAATCACCAACACCATCACCATCACCATCACCATCACCATCACCATCACCATCACCATCACCATCACCATCACCAACACCATCACCATCACCATCACCATCACCATCACCATCACCTGCCATCATCTTGGTTCTTGAGCGTGCCTTGGTGCAGGAACGGCGTCACCTGAAATCCATACTGCACCCTTGCCTCAAACTCCTGTTGTTCACAAGATACATGTGAAGAAAAGGCATGCATGATTTACCATAGCAGCAGCGAAAGTAGCCCTCACGCGCCTACAGCAAGCTCAAACACCACCATCCATCCACACAGCAGCACACAACACCACCCATGTCTTCTGAGACGCCTCGGAACATACATAACCAAATCACTGACACTCCCACCCACATGTGCGTTCCCTCCCAAGGCCAAACCCAGTGGATGCCCCAACCCAGTCAACCACGCTCGCCCAGCTCTGACCAGATCCACATGACCAATACTCACTCTCACTCCCTGCTTTGACTTTCCCTCTCATCCGTGCCCATCCCCTCCTCCCCCTCCCCAGCCCACTCGAAGTGCCAACTGCAGTGTAAGCAGTGTGTGTGTGCCTCTCTCTGACTTCTAGTGTGTGCTGCGAATGGGAAACAATTTTGAGAATTCTCAAAAGCGAATGTGGTACCAATGTGGTCTTAACTGACATATTGACGTAATGCATAGATGTGCCATATGGATGTGGTGAAAACATGTGATATAAGTATGTGGTATAGGCAGAGAGGGGAAGGTAATACATGAACATAGCACGGGAGAAGAGGGAGGGATGGAAAGTACAGGAAATATATTCTGTGACAGCTGTCAAAAACCCCTCTTCTGTGGCATCCCCTGTCTTGCCCTCTCCTTCCTGTACTTTCTATCCCTCCCTTCTTCTCCCGCGCTATGTTTCTGTATTACCTTCCCTTCATGTATTACATATGGATTTGTTACAAGGGTTTCGTATACATATGTGGTATAGCTGTGCTATGAGTGTATGTGACACGAACATGAGTTATGAAGACGTGCTTTATAATATGCAACAGGGTATACATATGTGGCATCAATGGGTGGCATGCAAATGGGCGTACGCGTGTGCCATACAGAATATACATGAATCCGGAAATCATCACCACCCACCCACCTGAGGCGGCACCTCCCCCAGGGGCGACACCTGCCCCTCCCTGGGCTGGAAACACGCTCCCAGCGCCAACTCATGCCGCACTGCAGGGTGTTGGGGAGAGGGGGGAAGGGGGGTTTGCGCGAGGGGGAGACGGAGCGAGGGGAAAGGGAATGGACCGGGAAGAAGGGGATGGGGCATTGACATGAGATGTGCGAAGAGGGGACGATGGGCTGGGAAGGGTTGAGCGAGGTATGGAAGGGCAGGACTAGGGAAGGTGCTCAGGAACAGTGGGAGAGGAGGTCCCAGGGAACAAGACGAAGAGCAGGGCAGGGGTGGGGTTGTGATTGTACTTCCGAGAGATATACGACCTCCCCTCTCCGCCCTTCCCCGCGCTCACCTCCCCAGAATCGTCCCGTGTCCGCCGTTTGTTGATACAAATAGTCTCTCGCGTCCGCCCCGCTCTCCGCGCCCGCCGCGTCACCGCGCCCCCACTCCGCCTGCCTGTCCACCGCCGGCCCCATCGCCTGCATCATCACGCACGGCAGGCCCCCCTTCGCGCGCTTCGCCTGCTCGCCGGCGGGGGAAGCGGATGGCGCTCCGGGGGAAGCCGCGGAGGGGGCTGCGGGGGGCGGAGCGGAGGGATTTTCAACAGAGTACATCCATGCGAACGAGTCGCGCGAGTTGGGAAGCGACACCTTGAAGTACCACCCCTCGAAGAATGGCTGATCAGCGCCGCCGCCGCTGCTGCTGCTGCCCGGCGCGTAGTGGTACCCGCTGTGCGGCGTGCGACTCGGCCGCGTCACGGCGGGCGACGGTGGCGACGCTGGCGGCGCTGGCGACGGCGACGCGGCGGAGCTGCTCGCCCTGGGCGACGTCGCCGGCGTCGTAGGCGACAGTCTGGAACCAGCTGATCGTGCGGAATGCCCGACCGCTCGCTGCAGCGAGTTCTGGCGGCGCAGTGCGGGACGGTGGCGGCACGAAACGATGCTCGGTGCAGTGGCTAGCCGCCTTGAAGTTGCCGCAGGGGCGCAGGTAGCGGCTGAAGCGGCGGCCGGCATGGCGAGTCGTTCTGGCAGCACGGAAGCGACAGAGGGCGACATGGAAGGCGAATTTATGAATCACTGTGTTTCGCGTACAGTACTGCGCTTATCAACAACCGCTAAAATTGATTGTCCGGCGACACGACGAGCAGGGTGCGTCTTGTTGGAACTGCAATTCAAGCCAGAACTTGCGGACCAGGAATTCCTAAACCTGCTTCTCATACACTTCAGCGAATTCGGTCCCACGGATGACTTCGTCACCTGTAACCAAAGTAACCCCTCGCAAATCTGACCACCCGTTTGTGCCCTCGACCTCGAGTGTCACGAAAGAAACGGCTACAATTGTCCCACGTGGCTCGCGATACAGTTTGGCAGGACACAAGCGTCGCCTGGGCACCGTGCCACCTCACTCACCGTACATTCACAGACAAGAAAGTATTCTCTTTAGGACGGTTCTGATATAAAAACGGTTGCGTAGGTTTGCGAAGCGAAATCAGAAAACGTTTGTCGCTATCCTCGTTTATACCTTCATACTGGTAAAACAACGACGTTCCAATTGAAAGCTCACCATCGTGACTAGGCACGAATTCCCTCAGTGCTGCATTTGATTCTCAGGTTCACTGCACCGTCTCCTCTCTCGGTGAGCTGTAACCTAATCACAATGCCCTGCTTTTGCGTGACGAACGTTCAGATTTCCTCATAAATTAGACACAAGGAGTCCATGTTCATTCATTGGTCGTCATGGTTTGCCACCTAGCGCAGTTGGTGTGCGGCCCTACCGGCATCCACAATGCCTTGCTTGTGGTTGACAAAAAAGTGCAGACAGATTAAGGGAATGAGGATGACGAGGAAGACGTAGAGAAAGCTGGGGCGGAGCTCACCCGTAATCTGCAATGGCACGGGCAGGCAGGGAGACAGTTCAATGTGTAATGAGACAATTGAGATAGCCATTGTGAGGATGTGAATGCAAGTTGGCTTGTCTGGTTAGGTGTGGTGTGATGCAGTGAGGGTGCCATGTGGCCACAGCAGGGCAAGGCATGCATACGGAGAGGTGGAGAAGTGGGAAGAAACGAGGAAGGAGAAGTCGGAGGAAGTGGAGGATAAGCACCGGCACCTTGATGGTGACAATGAACGGCCTGATCAGGGAAAGGCGGGGACGGAGCCACGACGAGCCCTTGTCGCTCACAGAGTAGAGCGCCAAATCAGATGGTTTCTGGAGCGCTTCAGAATTCGTCTCATCTCACAAGACAAGCCAACCCACCTGCACGATGATTGCGACGATGAACGGCCCCAGCCACGACGAGCCCTTGTCGCTCACAGAGTAGAGAGAGAAAAACGCCGCCTCGCGCCCGACCGGAATCATGTCAATGAACAGCGTCTTCGAGTACGCGTTCAGCCCGCCGAGAAAAAACCCAAACCAGCACGCAAACACAAACAACTCCCAAGGGGCCTTCAGCCCTATCGACTGCGGCGGTGTGAGGTAACCCAGTAACCCCCAGAGCGGCAGCGGCAGCATGCCGGCCAGCATAAGCATGACCATGGCCTTGTTTGTGAGCACGGGGTGCATCCAGCGCTGCAGGTAGAATAGCAGCGGCGTGCAGAGAGTCGCGGTGACAGACACGCAGATGGCGAGGAAGATGAGGGTTTCCGTGGGCACGCAGAGGTCTCGCTCCCCGAAGAGGACCCCGATTTGGAGGATGGTGGTGTAGCCGTCCGCGTAGACGAAGTAGCAGAGCAGAAAGGCGAAGGCCGAGCGGTAGCGGCGCGCTTCGGCGAAGAGTCGCCCCATGTGGCGCCAGCCGGCGAAGGCAGAGGAGAGGGCGGAGGCGAGGCGTGCGGTGAGGTGGGATGCAGTGCGGTGGCATGCGGAGGAGTGGGAGGAGGAGGGGAGCGGGGGTGGAGGGGGGAAGGGTGGGCCGGGGCGGGGGCGGAGCCAGAGGAAGGTTGGGAGGGAGAGGAGGAGCCACCAGAGGGCGCAGGCGAGCAGGGCGAGGCGGAGTTTGAGCGAGTCGGAGGAGACAGGGAGCGTGGCTGCGAAGGCGAGGAGCGTGGCGAGGATGGATGCGATGCTGGCACACGCCACCCCTGTCAGTGACATGCGATTCTCCTCCTGGTGGGGAGGGAGGGGAGGGAATGGGGGGAAAGGGAGGTGAATGGGGAAACAGGAGGGAATAGCAGGAGGGAAAGGCAGGAGGGAAGAGCAGGAGGGAAGAGCAGGAGGGAAGAGCAGGAGAGTAGAGCAGGAGGGAAGAGCAGGAGAGTAGAGCAGGAGGGAAGAGCTGGAGGGAAGATCAGGAGGGAAGAGCAGCTGAAAAGAGAATCGCATGTGAGCCCATGATGGTGGCGAGAGAAAGCAAAGCGAGCTCCAGTAGAAGTTTGAGAATTCTCAGAAGTGATAAGATAATTTCATGTGAGCACAGAGACAGATGGTGGTGGATCTTGAGAATGCACAAGAGAGAGCAAAGTGAGATCCAGTAGCACGAGCAGCAGGTGTAGTGTAGGGCTGAGCTTTGCATTTCGTTCCGTTTACATCACCAAGATATGCGTAGGCCCCGTGCACCCTTGAAGAAGCGGCATCAAGTGGTCACCTGGTCCCTAGCAACGAGAAGCGGTGTGTAGAGGTCGCCTTTATCCCCCCCACACGAGTCTCCCCCACACGAATCCACAGCAATGAATGCCTCGGGACTGCCCTGCACACCTGCATGTGCGTGCGGCTCTGCAACCGCCAATGCCTGCTCTCCCATCAATGCCTTCTCCCCTTCCCCACCCCCCTCTGCTGCTGCTGCTGCTGCTGCTGCTTTCTCTGTTGCCCTCTCCGCCCCCACCCCTGCCTCAATGGCAGCAGGCACACCAGCATGCAGGGCCTTTTCAGTGGACTCAAAGGGTGCTGCCAGCGCACCACCACCACCAGGCACACTGGCAGCAGCACGTGGCAGCTTTGCTTGGGCGTTCACTGCAAGCTGTGCCGCGAGTAGCACCGGAGGGGCCGCGTCCACCAGCACAGGCAGGTAGCTGGTAAAGCATGGTGGGGGGCAGGGCAGGGGGGTGGGAAGGAGAAGGTAGGGGTTGAATAGCCGACGTTGGCGGGCGGTGATGAGGAGCAGACCTGGTAGCCACCAGCGGGACGGGGAGAGCAGGTAACATTGCGTGCACCGGCTCACACCAGCTGATGGCACTGATGCTATATAGGTCACAGCTGTAGCATGTGATGGTATGTGAAGAGGGCACCCACCTGTAGTAAGCAACGATGGCGAGCCCGTAGCCGACATTAGCAATAATGAGGAGTAACCCCGAGAGCCACCAGAGGGAGAGCAAGTGACACTGTGTGCACTGGTCATACGTGTAGCAGCAGGTGAGGTCATGCGCACGGGTCCCACCCACCTGTAGTAGGCGACAATGGCAAGCCCGTAGCCAACATTGGCAATGATGAGGAGTAACCCCGAGAGCCACCAGAGGGATGGTGACACGAGCGCCATGCAGAGCGCACATGCTGTTATGCCCATGGCTGTGCCGCCCTGTAGCAGCTGCACGGGGGGTGAGGAGTGGTGCAGAGGCGAGGGGAATGGAGTGGTGCCGACGGGCACAGGGAGAAGAGTGGGGATGGGGAGAGGCCTGGCATGGCAGAGCAGGGCATAGCAACCCCATGACCCCACCTGTTATCTGCCCAACTGCATGAGCCCACCCACCCACCCACCCACCCACCCGCATGCGCCCCAGGCCATAGTCAGTGAGGGGCCCGAGGGTGATGAAGGCGGCCACTTGACACACGTGTATCTGCAACCTCCACACCACTCATCATCCTCGCCTAGCCCCACCCACTCAACAGCCCACCCACTCCCCTACTCCCACCCCTTATCTGCTCACCCACCCGCATGCGTCCCATCAGCCCATCCCACCACCCTACCCACCCGCATGCGTCCCATCAGCCCATCCCACCACCCTACCCACCCGCATGCGCCCCATGCCGTAGTCAGCGAGGGGCCCGAGGGTGATGAATGCGGCCACCTGGCACACCACCGACAGCCCCAGCGTGACTGTAGCGAATGCCACGGGATCCATGCTTGCCGCCCCCATCTGCACCTTGGGATTTGGCAGCGGCGAGTAGCTGGGGGGAAAACGGGGGATGGGGGGTGGGGGGGAGAGAAGGGGGAAGGGTGACGACGGGCGGGGATTGAGGAAGGGAAGAGCGATGGAAAGCGAGGTGGGAAGAAGGGTGCGGACAGGAGTGGGGAGCGAGGGATGGGGGACGGGAGGGAGTGTGGTCGCCGTCCCATGTGGTGTGGGGATGGCGAGCAGCGCATACTATCATGGCATCTCCACCTCCTACCACACTGCCCTCCGTCACCGCTCCGTCACCCCTCCGTCACCCCTCCGTCATCCCTCCGTCATCCCTCCGTCACCCCGACGTCACCCCAACGTCATCTCCAAGTCACCCCAACACAGTGCTCCCCCACAAACCTCAATTCCACACGCTGCGTCCCCAATAAGCTCAGCCATCCCACTAGTCCCCATTCCCCCATCTTCCCCTTCCCCCACCAGTAACCCTCTTTCCGCGTCCCCGCCGCCTCCATCCGTCCCCGCGCGTCCGCTCTCTCACCTACCCAGATGACGTCAGCAGCTGCATTCCCTCGCCGGGCACGCACTGCGCGCAATTCACGGTGACGCCGTCGACGCCGCAGTCGGGCGGGCGCGGCTGCCCCGCCTGCTGCCACGCGGCGTCGGCGGCGAGCTGGTTGAGGAGCAGCGGGAAGAACACGGGCAGCGCCACCGAGTAAAACGCGGACACCGCCGCGTCGTACAGATACCACCCCCACTCCTCGCGCCGCGTCACGGGAATTGGAGCGTCAGCGCCATCCGCGGCGGCGGCGGTGGCGAGCATTCCTTCGTCCGCCGCTTCGTGATCGTATTGCGAATTATGATCGTTTCTTTGTGGCTCGGCACGCGACGTAGCCATTCGCTCACGATGCTTTTTCTGAGTTGTTTCGGTAATCGCTCCAGGTGCCGCTCAGGACGCAGCGCGGCGCGGCTTGCCGCTGCTGGTGGGCGCGTCTCCTCTGGCGGCGGAGGCGGAGAGACGGAGGAGCTACGAGATTGAAGAAGCGGCGTCAGGGGGAAACGAGCGGGGTTTGCGGAGGACGCGGAGGCGGAATTCTGCGCGGAATGGCTTCTGCGACGCCTCATGCTCAGCTGATCTGGAGAAATTCGCTGGAGGCAAAACTAAGGCAGAGGAGGGGAGAGTGTCAGTCGGTAGGATTGGCTGGGAGAGTTCCGAGCGAGTTCGGTCGGTGTTTGTGACGGTGGAGTTGGGTGGAATTGAGCCGCGACGCATCTGATTGTGAATCCGGTCGGGCGGGGTTCTGATTCTGAAGAGGGAAACATGCGCGCGCGGAATGCTGCAGAGAGCGGACGACACAGCGTATAGGAAGAAGGTTCGGTTCGGTCGGTGAGGTTGCAGACAACGAGGAGAGTGGTGGGGAGAGGAGGAAAAGGGAAGGGGAAGAGGAGGGGGAGTAAGCAGGGTGGAGTGGTGGTCTCGCGGTGACAGGCAGCAGGGGAGGAAGGGAAGGGAAACGAAGGTGTGTGGTGGTTTTTGTCGTTGAGCGGAACAACGGTGGCCTTTGGGGGGAACAGAATGCTGCGTTGAAAAATGTCGTTGATCGCAGCTGTTGCGTTGCGATGCGAACGAACACAGCCGCGAATTGGTCGCGCACAAACAGTACAGCGTGTCAGTGCCCCCCGAGCAGGAGAGCGATGGTCGATACCTTACCCCTTCACTGCTCAAATATCTCTAGATTGGGACAACTTCATCTGCAATCTAATTAAGCCAGCGCGGTTCGCAAATGCGATCCCTAACCGTCCGCCTAGAAGAAGCTGATGAGTCGTAATCTGCCCGCGGTCACAAAAAAATAAACCCCTAATGGGTGGCATGCGATTAGGGGAGCCCCAACCCTAAACACGGGGAGCCCCAACCCTAAACACGGGCAGCCGCGTCGTTCTGCCCGAAAAGATTGCATTTGCAAACCCGCACTGGGAAAATGAGATCGCAGTTCGAATTGTCCGCGCTAGATTCGCAGAGTTGTGAAATGGAAGAAATTACATTCAATGGGCACTGATCACTAGTTCCGATGCTGTTGTTACAGGGGGTTTTACTGTTCACTTTGCACAGTAACTCCCAACCCCATCCTTATCCTTATCTTCTTGGATTTCCTAGTGCCACGTGGCACTCTACTTTTCTTGCTTCTACTTTCTAGTCCCACAAAGTACTTTCCATCATTCGATCTTGCATGCTATATCAACCTTGCTTGTATTCCCCAATATCAACCAATTCTCATTCAACTCTTCTTCAATTACTCAGTAACTTCTTCGCCTATTTCGCCAATAGTTCTTTCGCCAAAGTCTTCCGCCGCATTTCATCCTCGACTTAGTCGACCCCGCTAATTCTTTAGCGGACTTAGGCCGTCGGGCCTAACACTTGGTATCAGAGCCTTCGCGGGGAGCGACTTCCAACGAGCGACCGTCGACGACGAGACTACGACGTCATCGTCCCGCGGTGCCGACTTGCAGACTTGGAGTCGTCGAGCGAACATGGACGAAACCATGCACGCTCTCCCCCACGACATGGGCAACACGCTTGCCGAACTCATGCGCCAACTTCAAGAGTTGACGTTGGAAAATCGTCAGGTACGAGCTGAAATGCAACAGCTTCGTGAATTGGCTTCTAACCCCCATAGTCATGCCGCACCAACTCTTGCGCCCAACACGTCGACTGGCGCGGAAGCGCTGCCGGAACGTCGAAGCGCGCTCAAGCCGCAGAAACCCGAGTCGTTCGACCCAAGTCAACGCGACGCGAACGTGCGGACGTGGCTGTTCATGCTGAACAACTACTTCGCCGCGAGCGGGGTACAAGAGGCGGACGCGCAGCAGCGGATCGAGTACTCCGTTACGCTGCTGAGGGGACCGGCCTTGGAGTGGTGGCGCCAACTCACCACGAAGCTGCTAGGAAGCGTCTGTGTCATTTCCGACAGATAGGAAACGTCCAGGAGTACACACGACGGTTCTTGAGCATCTGCAACGAGATAGACGATATCACGGAAGCAGAGATGCGCGATCGCTACCTCGAGGGGTTGAAGCCGGACATAGCAGAAGTTATAGCGATTCATGGGTTGTCCACCTTCGAGTCAGTTGTCGCAGCAGCAGAACGCGTCGACGCAGTACGAAGCCGACGGGGTCGTGACGATCGCGATAGGGGATACAACAGACCGATCAACGACGCTCGATCGAGGGACGTACCATCGCCCATGGAGATTGGTGCAGTTAACAGTGACGGCTCACAGAAAACGGGATTTAGGGGGAACTGTCACTACTGCAAAAAGCCGGGACACATGAAGTGGGACTGCCCACAGCTTAAGGAGCGGCAGCAGGGAAACGGAAACCGCCAGTAGATAGCGGGTCGCTAGCTGGTGTGGAGGTTCCCGTACCCGCCACGTCTATCAACGTAGAGGAGACGGCTTTGCAGCAGTCATCTACGGAGAACGAGGTAGACACTGTTGACCGACCAGTCGTGCTTCTAGGGAAGCTTCGTGGAGTTCCTGTTAAGATTCTCGTAGATAGCGGAGCTAGCCACTCGTTTGTCTCTTCTTCATTAGTCAGTCGTCTCCATCTTGGCTACGGACGGTTAGTACTCAGTTCGATTGGGCTCAGGGAAGCTGCAGCGTCAAGGTAGACGGGGAGTTTCGGGAGCTGCCACAGTGGAGCGATGCGGCCACATCCTCCACAGCTATCATTAATGCTGTTCGTGTGCGACAGTTAGTGAAGCGTGCGGCGCGGATCTTTGCGGTTTTCCTTGAGGAGGTGGAAGCTGAGGAGGGGAAAGGAGGGAGTGCAGCAGTTGGTGCGAAGGCGACTCTTCCTGCTGAGGTGAGTGCACTATTAGCAGAGTTCGCAGATGTCTTCCCCGACGAGTTGCCCCCAGGGTTACCTCCCAGCCGAGCAGTAGACCATCGAATAGAGTTGGAGCCGGGGAGCAGGCCAGTAGCGAAGCCGCAGTGGAGGTTGAGTCCAGCAGAGACAGAGGAGATGACGCAGCAGGTTAGGCATTTTCTCGCGCAGGGTTTCATTCAGCCATCTAGATCGCCTTGGGCAGCACCAATCCTTTTCGCACCCAAGAAAGACGGAGGGTTACGGATGTGCATAGATTACCGCGCACTGAACGCCGCCACCGTCAAGAATAGGTTTTCGGTGCCGAGAGTAGAGGATCTCCTAGATGCAGTGCAGGGCGCTAGAGTTTTCTCCAAGATCGACCTTCGTTCGGGTTACCACCAGATTCGCGTAGTTCCAGAGGACCAGCACAAGACGGCGTTCCGTACGAAGCAGGGGTTGTACGAGTTTAGGGTTCTACCGTTCGGATTGACCAACGCCCCAGCGACGTTTCAGACGCTCATGAACACCGTCCTCTCCGAGTTCCTAGGGTCGTTCGTTGTAGTTTACCTGGACGACATCCTAGTGTTCTCTAAGACGAAGGAGGAGCACGTGCAACACTTGCAGAAGGTCTTTGAGGTCTTGAGGAGGGAGCAGTTGTACGCGAAGCAGTCGAAGTGCGAGTTCTTCCTCCCGGAGGTCGAGTTTCTAGGTCACGTCGTTTCCGCTAGTGGCATTAGGACCGACCCGAAGAAGATCGCAGCAGTACAGGATTGGGTAGCACCGACCTCAGTCAAGGAGTTGCAGAGCTTCCTCGGATTCGCAAATTACTACCGCCGTTTCGTTCAGGGTTACGCATCGATCGCTAGTCCACTCACCGACCTACTTCGGAAGGGCGTAGAATACGTTTGGGGTCCAGCGCAGCAGCAGGCGTTCGAGCAGATGAAGCAGTCGCTCACGTCTTCACCGACACTGTCGTACCCTGATCTCACTCGCCCATACGTTGTAGTGACCGACGCTTCAGATCAGGCCATAGGAGCAGTGCTTCTTCAGGACCAGGGACGCGGGTTGCAGCCGATCGCGTACGAATCGCGTAAGCTTAGGGGAGCGGAGCTGAACTATCCGATTCACGACAAGGAAGCGCTCGCGATCATCCATGCGTATAAGGTGTGGAGGTGCTACCTAGAGGGGGCAGATAGTGTTATACGCACGGACCACTGTTCGCTTCGTTTCCTCAAGTCGCAGCCACAGCTGAGTCGTCGCCAGGCTAGGTGGATGGAGTTCATGGAGGGGAGCTTTCACTACAGGATAGAGTACAAGCCAGGCGTGCGCAACCCAGCAGATCCGCTCACTCGCCCTAGTTGCCAGCTCGCTAGTCTCACAGTCACTGCCGGCCACCCACTTCTCACAGCACTCTTCGAGCACGGTTACACAGTAGATCCTGACTTCACACCGCAGCCGCCCGCAGGAGCAGAGGTGCAGGGTAGTGTCTACATACGGAAGGGTACCACACGGATTTGGGTTCCAGCCTACCGCCCTCTTCGACAGCTTCTTCTTTCCGAGGCGCACGATGTAGTTAGCGCAGGTCACTTTGGAGCAGATAAGACGGCTAAGACGCTTAGTCGCACGTACTACTGGCCCGGGCTTGCAGCAGACGTAGAGGATTACATTCGCTCGTGCGACACGTGTCAGCGTACGAAGTCCTCTCGCCAGCGCAAGGCAGGACTTTTGCAGCCGATTCCACCGCCCGACCGCCCTTGGCAGGTAGTTACCATGGACTTCATCATGGCTTTACCGCGCACAGTTAGGGGTCACGACGCCATCTTCGTGGTAGTGGATAAATTTTCTCGAGCAGCGCACTTCATCCCCACGCACGGCAAGGTCATAGCAGAGGAAGCCGCGACGCTGTTCGTAGATAACGTAGTCCGACTGCACGGGGTTCCAGATTCCATCATTTCCGACCGCGACCCTAGATTCACCTCGAAGTTCTGGAAGCAGCTTTTTGCACTGTTTGGGACTCGCTTAGCCATGTCGTCTGCGTACCATCCAGAGACAGACGGACAGACCGAGCGTGTGAACCAGACCTTGGAGCAGATTCTTCGCAGCATCACGATGCACGACGCAGCCGCATGGGACAAGAAGCTGAGCATGGCATAGTTCGCCTACAACAACACGCACCACTCGTCCACAGACATGTCACCGTTCTTTGCACTTTACGGTCAGCACCCCAATGTCCCCACTCGTGTCGATCTCACACCCACTGTCCCTCGTGCGGACAACTTCCATCAGCATCTCACCTTCATTCATTATCACGTGAGGAAGCACCTTGAGCTCGCAAATGCACGCATGGCACGCACCACCAACCGCAGTCGTCGTGAGGTGTCGTTCGCAGTCGGCGACCGTGTTCTCTTGGATAGCCGCAACCTCCGACTGCCACAGGACAGCAAGCTTCGTCCACGTTTCATTGGTCCATTCGTCATTGAGCGCGCACTTGGTCCAGTCGCATACCGCCTCCGCCTTCCCGCTCATTTCTGCATGCACCCGTCATTCCATGTGTCGCTTCTTCGTCCTTACACCGATCCCAACGCCACCTTCTCGGGCCGTGACCGCACTCCACTACCGGTAGCTGTTGACACCGACGAGCCCGACTACCAGATCCAGCGCATCTTCAGGCACCGTCGCCGTCTCCAGGGAGGTGTCTCTTTCATCGACTTCTTGGTTCGTTGGCGTGGTTACGACGCGGCAGACGACAGCTGGGTTCCTTCGTCCTCGCTGTCTCCTGACAACGCTTGCCTCCAAGCGTACCTTCAGTCTGCAGGCGCCGCGGACGTCGCCTCCTTGGGAGGGGGGTAGTGTTACAGGGGGTTTTACTGTTCACTTTGCACAGTAACTCCCAACCCCATCCTTATCCTTATCTTCTTGGATTTCCTAGTGCCACGTGGCACTCTACTTTTCTTGCTTCTACTTTCTAGTCCCACGAAGTACTTTCCATCATTCGATCTTGCATGCTATATCAACCTTGCTTGTATTCCCCAATATCAACCAATTCTCAGTCAACTCTTCAATTACTCAATAACTTCTTCGCCTATTTCGCCAATAGTTCTTTCGCCAAAGTCTTCCGCCGCATTTCATCCTCGACTTAGTCGACCCCGCTAATTCTTTAGCGGACTTAGGCCGTCGGGCCTAACACTGTGCTGCATACAGATAATATACACCATGCACCTGAAGCTATTCTGTGATATCACTTTAAAGAAAAACTCAAACCATGTTTGCTGATCATGCAAAACATCAAAACCCTAGTAGTTTTTTGGAGTTTGGTAATAGGAAATGAAGTGAAGACCTGTGGAATTTCCGTGCAAACAAGAAGCAGTTGCGTGGCTTCCCTCGTAGGACACAATACCCGTTTTGAATCGTCTGTCATGGGGATTATTGTGGATAGGGGAAGGGGGTGTTATTGAACATTGTTATGGATGATAAGAAGCTTATGCAAGAACCGCCTTGCATTCAACAACAAACACTTCCAAACCTATGTCTGGATAGCGAATTTGCAAAGTGGCACTCACCTTTGGGGGTTGTGGTACTGAATAGTTATATATCTGCAAGTAATAAGAGGTGAACACACAAACATGTTAACATCTGTTTCTTCACATAAGCAATCTTACTTTCTCCACAAACGGTATGGCATCCAGGCCATGAAGGTGCAAAGAGGTGTGCTGACAGCATGTAAATGCAAGCAAATCAGGTTATGTGGGTTGAAGTCAATGCTGTGCACCAATCGCAACTCAAGTGTACTGACTGCAACTCACGTAAGTGAAGTTACTCTTGAACTCCCGCCAGAAGGACCGAAATTGGATGTATTGTTGTGTTGTCTGTTGTGGGCAGTGGGGATGCAACATGGGATGGGACCGAGAGGAAGGATTGAGAGGAATGAATGGAGTGAAAAAACACCATAAACAGTTGAGAAATTAAGGCTCGTGACGGAAGTATCAGCAATGCTCTACCCTTCTAGGAGGCATGGAAGGTGGGAGAATGAGGGAAAAGGGGCATAGGTGATCTGTGTGGAGGGAGCAATGCACTGGGGTTTGGTGGGTGTGGAACATTGTGGGCTTTAACTAGATGGTACGACAACCTACCTTTGTGCAGTGGCAGCACGGGAGGATTACGCAAGCACAAGGTTTCACTGGTACGATCCAAGTATTTTTAGGGTTTAGGGTGCACCTACCTTCATGTAATTGATCATTTTGGCAGTGATGTTCTGGCGGTGGTACAGCATGGGATGGTACTGGTTGAGCCGCCAGTCCGTGAAGGTGGTGGGGTAGTGCGATATGCCTCGGCGGTCCTTTACCTGGAGGCACATGTTGAGGGGCATACCGGGGCACGAAGGAGGGGAGACACATAGTGTGAGGCGCGCATGGGGCAAGCGGAAGCATATTGGCGGTGGTGTTCTGGCGGTGGTACAGCATGTGATGGCACTGGCTCAGCGGCCACGTGAAGGTGGTGGGGTAGTGCGATATGGAGCTCCAGTCCTTAGTCTGTCGTCCCATGTGTTGGGGGACAACACCTCGCAGTGGCAAAGGGGAGGGAAAACTGGTAGTCTAAGGACAGCATGGGGCAAGGAAAGGAGATATAGACACACTCACACACACTCACATGCAGCAGCTGAATTTGAAATAGTCACACTCATGCGCAGCAGCTGATTTTGAAATAGTCACACTCATACGCAGCAGCTGATTTCGAAATAGTCACACTCACATGCAGCAGCGTCTGAATGTAATGCTCATCAGCACAGCAGTAGCGCCCCCACTGCATCCGAAACTGCAAGCAAGCAGGGTGTGGAAGGCAAGGCAGGGTGTTTTAGGAAATGTAAGCACACTCAGCGTACAGCGATTAGAGTTCCTGGATGAATGGCATGCACGTGTACGTGGGATTTTGGGCTAATGTGTGGGCGTATGGGTAATGCTGAGTTCATGGTTAGGGTCATGTGTGGTTTAGCAGAAGTGTGCTTTGCAGGACGGCTGTCGAGAAGAGCGTACATGCTTTAATTCACAATCTCAGCTACGAGATGTTTAAGAGTGAATTGGTGCTCTCATGCCTCACAAACCCCTCGTGCTCTCATGCCTCACAAACCCCTCGTGCTCTCATGCCTCACAAACCTCCCCACAGCAACGCATTACATGACAGCAGACTCACAGCGCATGTGCGGTTTTGCATGCGGTAGTGCTCCGTGTCCGCCACCACCCCACACCATCACACCACACCATCACACCACACCATCACACCACACCACACCACACCACACCACACCACACCACAGCATAGCAGCACATGACTCACAGAGCACGTGCGGTTGTGCACATCGTAGTGCTCCTTGTCCGCCACCACACCACACCACACAGCACCGCTCACCACACCACACAGCGGGCTCTCACTCACAGAGCATGTGCGGTTGTGCACATCGTAGTGCTCCTTGTCCGCCACCACACCACACCACACAGCACCGCTCACCACACCACACAGCGGGCTCTCACTCACAGAGCACGTGCGGTTGTGCACATCGTAGTGCTCCTTGTCCGACACCACCATCTGTGCATGTCGCCGCTGCAGGATGAACCACTGCGAGGGGGGGAGGGCGCAGTCACAAGGGAGAGTGGGGAGGAAGGGGAAGAGGGACGAAGCACTGCCGCTCACAATGAACCACGTGCATGCATGGGAGGGGGGGAAAGGGGTGGGGAAAGTGTTGACGAGAAAACTACACACATGAGACTCACGCGGGGTGCACATCAGTCCGCCTGGTTGCCTTATAACGAGCCCTCACCTGGTAGCCTTATAACAAGCCTTCGCCTGGTTATCTTGTAACAAGCCCTCACCTGGTTGCCTTATAACAAGCCTTCGCCTGGTTATCTTGTAACAAGCCCTCACCTGGTTGCCTTATAGCGAGCCCTCACCTGGTTGCCTTATAACGAGCCCTCACCTGGTTGTCTTGTAACGAGCCCTCACCTGGTTGCCTTTAACGAAGTCCCGTCGCCGTATAATGGGCATGTAGATGTGCCACAGATAGCGCTCAAACGACTTGTTGTACGGGTCGTGGTACCTGCATGGGGGCGGGTCGACAGAAAGAGGTACGGAGGGTTTAGAGAAGCGACGCTTAAGGCGCCTCAAGAGTAGATGTGCGACAGATACCACTCAAAGGGGGAGAGGGGAGTGGGGGTGAGAAGGGGAGAGGGGGAGAATTGTTACGGAGCGCGTAGGAGCACAATGACTTGTTGTTCTGATGGTGGAGGGTGCTGGTGGAGGTTTGGATGGATGGGACGGATGATGGGCGCCTAACAGCACAGCAGATTGTGCATCTGTTCCCTTGCTGCCTGCGCAGTACCCACGCCCCATGCCCCATGCCCCATGCCCCATGCCCCATGCCCACGCCCCACGCCCCATGCCCCATGCCCCATGCCCCAAGCCTGACAGGCAGCACTCACGCGTCAACGTATGAGACGGCGGTTGAATTGATGTAGGTGGCTATTGTGTCGAAGTCCCACAGGGGTATGCACCTGCGGGGATGGGAAGCACGTGTGCATGTGGAGCAAGCGGGTTGATCAGCATGGCGTGGCAGCAAGCAATGACTTTTGAGGCGCCTCAAAAGCACGTGTGCATGTGGAGCAAGCGGGTTGATCAGCATGGGGCGGCAGCAAGCATTGAAGGCGGTTGAGTTGATGTAGGTGGCGATGGTGCCCAAGTCCCACAGGGGGATGCACCTGCAGGGGAAGGGAGGCCGCAGCACGCATAAGAGGCAAGGAAGGTTGATGGGCACGGGGTGGCAGCAGCATGCAGCCAAGGGGGTTGAGCTGATGTAGGTGGCTATGGTGTTAAGTCCCACAGCGGTATGCACCTGAGGGGATGGAGGGGGGCATGAGTGTGGGATGAGTGTGGGATGAGTGTGGGATGAGTGTGGCATGAGTGTGGGATGAGCGTGGCATGAGTGTGGGATGAGTGTGGGATGAGTGTGGCATGAGTGTGGGATGAGTGTGGGATGAGTGTGGGATGAGTTGGCATGAGTGTGGGATGAGTGTGGGATGAGCGTGGGATGAGTGTGGCATGAGTGTGGGATGAGTGTGGGATGAGCGTGGGATGAGTGTGGCATGAGTGTGGGATGAGTGTGGGATGAGCGTGGGATGAGTGTGGCATGAGTGTGGGATGAGTGTGGGATGAGCGTGGGATGAGTGTGGCATGAGTGTGGGATGAGTGTGGGATGAGCGTGGGATGAGTGTGGCATGAGAGTGGGATGAGTGTGGGATGAGCGTGGGATGAGTGTGGCATGAGAGTGGGATGAGTGTGGCATGAGTGTGGCAAAGAGGCGAGGAGAGGGGGGGTTGGTGTCGGGATGCACCGGACCGCTGCCGGAGAAGCTGAAGCGCGGGGAGAGGCGAACGGGTAAAGGCGGGATGGAAAGAGACAAGGGACATATTCTACAAAGAAATGAGAGAGGGGGGTTGGGCGTGGGACATGGGTGGGGCGGCGCGGCGAGGGGCAACGGTTAATGGGGGTGCTCCTTAACGCCAGGGACACAGCTGTCCTCCTCACTCAAGCATGTGAGAGCAGAGCAGCACACATCACTCACGCCTCGGACAGCAGCACACATCACTCACGCCTCGGACAGCAGCACACATCACTCACGCCTCGGACAGCAGCACACATCACTCACGCCTCGGACAGCAGCACACATCACTCACGCCTCGGACAGCAGCACACATCACTCACGCCTCGGACAGCAGCACACATCACTCACGCCTCGGACAGCAGCACTCATCACTCACGCCTCGGACAGCAGCACGAAGTAGTGGTTGGTTCGCTCCTTGAGAGCCGCCGCCAGCAGCCGCCGCTCCGCGTCCACCATGGACATCTCACCCCATGACACCTGCACAGCCAGTGATATAGCGCAATTCCGTTATGTAAGGCACTGTAGTAGGGTTACTGTAGTACCCCGTTACTGTAGCCGCTCCGCGTCCACCATGGACATCTCACCCCATGACACCTGGCGGTCGCGGTGCAGAAGGGGAATACAAAGGAATAATAAGGGTTGCAGTATGGTAGAATTGTACCACAGTGTGGTAGTTTTTCTACCACATGAAGCTGATCTTCATCGACCATGGACATTCTGCCGTACGCTAAATGCATCTCCGCGTACAGCGTACACTGTACACGGCGTACACTGTACATGGCATACACTGTACACGGCATACACTGTACACGGCATACACTGTTCACATGCGCTTAGTAGGGTACCGAAGCACCTCGCTAAAAGCATCTCCGCGTGCAGTTATGGCTATTTGGCCCGATGAAGAAGCCAATGCAGCGAAAGAGGCGTCACGAGCGCTGCCGTGCCCACGTGGCCCGCTGCAGTGCCCACGTGGCCCGCTGCATTGGTTGCACCGCTCACCTTGCCGCTGCACCGCTCACCTCGCCGCTTTTGATGATGCGGTCGCGGAAGAGCGCGGAGAAGTTGCGCGGGAAGCGGAAGGAGAGGTCCGCCGCGTGGATGTAGATGGAGTAGCGCCCCTCGTGGCCCTGGGGGGAGGGAGCGGGGAGAAGGGGACACGGAAAGGGGGACCGGGGAGGGAGCGGATGACGGTGGGGGGGACGCGGGAAAGAGGAGCGGGATAGGTCATGGTGCGCGGATGTGGATGGAGAAGTCTCTACCGTGTCCCTGACAGGGAGTGGGGGAAGGGGCGCAGAAACGCGCGCGGATGCGGAAGCGGGGGACCTTGAGCGCGGGATCGCGTCGAGCTGACGCAACTTGCGAGCCGCCTCGAGATTCGCTGTGGGGAAATGGAGGGCTAGTGTGAATTCTCAGATAAAGATGTCGCGACGCGAGGCCTCGTGATTGGACCTGTATTGGCCGCGACGACTTTTGACGCGACGCAACCCGGCGGATTCGCCGGGTCGCGCATGGAATCGTGATCCTTGTTGCCGCGAGCTGTTGTTGAGAGCTCGTCAAGAACTGCCTGCATTTGATTGATTTTTGAGAATTCTCAAAAATCACCTGCATTCGACCAATACGACCTGAAGCTACGCGGCCTGATTGACTCGCGGTACTTGACGCGAAGCAACCCGACGGATGCGTCGGGTCGACTCAAGAGCACACATGGATGGAATCCAGATCAGCAATGGTGAATCCCACGAGTCTAGCAGACGCCTTTTGAGCCGACTCTAGCAGACGCCTTTTGAGACGACTCTAAAGTCGTCCACTTAGTCGACTCAGAGCACACATGAAATCGGGATCAGCAGAGATGACTCCCGCGACTCGACCAGACGCGCCACGCGACGACTTAGCAGCTATGACGGGGACTGGACTGGCTAGGGGAGTGTCAGGACGACTTGAAGCGTCGGCTTGACGCCCTAACCAGCCCGACTTCCGGAAGGGCCATCACTTCATTCTAGCATTAACTATCGCGCCTCTCTGATTACGCGCCTCGAGGGTTTGAGACGTTTTCAAAGCTCGATTATCGCGCGTTCGTAATTATCGTGCTCTTCCTGTCCTCGCCAGCTTCGCGGCGACGCAATGCGTCGTTGCCAACTAACCCGTTCCTCGGCTGACAACTGTCGGAGTGGTATCCCGAGTTATAGGAACCAATCCGAACCGATCAGATAATGCCACAGGCCTCAGTGCATCGGTTACGAATCCGACAGATATCAGTACGATGCGTTCTAGTGCGACAGGATTCAGTGCACGAGGGAGCCAGACACGCGACTGGGAGGGACCGTTGACTAGAGCGAATCCACGGGAAGCCGTCGGTAAGAGTTCTGAAAAAGCGCACTATTTATGGAGTAAGCGCTGACAAGGAGTCCAGCCAGTCTAAGGGAAGCCGGCAGTAGCCCGCACCGCAGATTGCTTTAGAGAATTCTCAAGATTGACTCCAGTGTCGCCCACGTCTCGGGTCCTATGCTTGTCCCCCCTAACGCGCACTCCAGCCCATACATCGGGTCCATTTTTTAGGCGCCTCAAAATTGCAGAGGCGCCCTAAAGATGACACCTCGGGTCCAGGACCCCCAACTCCGCACCCGTCAACCTCACGCGCGCCAGCCGTCAGAGGGCCAGCCCCATGTGCGCCACCCTCCGCGCACCTACCTCTGCCCGCCCACCCCCCGCACCTTGAAGAACTTCTCCCACAGCGGGGCGAGCGGAAGAGGGCCACGTGTCATGAACAGAAACGCGATCTTTCCAGGCGGCTTTCTCCACGACCGCCGCTGCGGTTGCTGTTGCTGCTGTGCAAGAGGGTGGTTCTCCGGCTGTTGCGACGACAGCTGTTTCTTCCGACCATACTCCACCAACACGTTGCCTAAATACGACGCGCCGGCCTTCTCGGGGCCCTCTAAATCCGTGGCTTTATCGAGGAAGTTCACTAACGGGGATACGCTGGACGCGATAAAGGTAAAGTTGAAAAGAAACACGACGAGGAAGATGGCGGAAAAAACGATGAGCGAAGCGAACGCCCGCAGCCGCCGACTGATAGACGATGACGACGAGGGCTTTGCCGGCAATTCACACCCAACCAGCCTGAAATGCTCTAGATTCTGAGGTAAGGCCTGCCCTGCCGCGTTGGGCTTCAGCGAGGGAGAGAGGAGGAGGAGATGAGATTCGAGGTGGCCCATCGTGTCGGACAGACTCTTTCGAGAGAGAGCTACTGTAGCACTACGCTACTAGTAGTGAGTAGTTGCCGCAGATGGTGGAGACGCTATCTCCCCGTTGGCATATTAACAATAAATCCGCGCGCTACTGTTCGTCTGCCGGTGTGTTGCGTGTGCACTAAGAGGCTTCTGTGGAAAACGTAATTTCGCACACATGCGCTACTTACTGGACTGGTCTAGAGAATAGGGCGCTAAGGCGATGATGGCTCTTAGGTGACATTGAGTCACGCCAAGAGGAAGGGGATGAAAAGCTCGAGTGGCATTATCGTTACAGCCACACGAGGCAGCTAGAGGACTGGACAGAGTATCGACTACTACGAGTGTTGGGCGAGGGGTGAGAATCAAGTGATAAGGTCTCTCGACGTAATGGAGGGAAGGAGGGGCCAAGTGCGCCTGCCCGCGTTGGAAAAGTACAGCACGATAGGCAATGACGCGTTCCAAAGCTCCGGAATGAGTAGCGGCAGGGTGGATGAGAGGAATGGTTGGCTGGTTGTTGCGCAGAGCCACGGCCAAGCCGTTGCGACCGCCTTCAACCACGTTCGGCTTGACTAGAATGCTTTCTAGTTCGGCAGGGCTGCTGCTGCTGAAACAGGTGCGTACAAGAGCAACTAAACACGAATCCAGGGAGGGGTTTGGGGGGGAAGAATGATCAGGAGACACAGCAGAACAGTGTGGCAGCAGGGAAAACGGCTAACAGAGATTTCACAAATGACAAGAAGTGATACGAGATCGCGAAAGGGGATACATTACGGTGAAAGCGGATGCTAATCGGTTTTAGGCGTAAATAGAAGATTCCAGATTCACATCACGCGACGCGATCCGGCCGGAGCGTGATGAGATGGGAATCGACGAATTGTGATGTGACTCGTGTGCGCGCTCGCTAGACATCGGGGAAGCGCGTTTCGTTCTGACGGGCGGTGCGAGGTCGGGCACCAGGATTGGAGTTGGACGATGTGAAGTCGGCATCAAGGTGCGACGTGCTAAAGGAGGGCTGTACATAGACGACCAGATGGACCGAGGCACCTCGTCTAGCAAAACGACACAGCACAGCCGTTGGGGTTGAGTGGAAGAAACCAGTTGTATTATCTGAAATGTTATAAGGAGGTACACTGAATACGTATTATTTTGTCCCGTACTTTCAAACCATCCCTATTGTTGTAGATCAGTGCACGATTCAGACTGCCTAGTTCCACACAATCATCGTATATATGCAACCATTCGTTCTGTTAAGTTTAGAAAATACCAATTTCTCACATGTACGATATCAGAATGGGCTGCATGATATAGCCTACACAAGATAACATATTGGAGTATGAAAGGAATCATACTTAGCATTCCCGTAGGTGCAGCTGTATCGCACCCGCTACTATCGAAGCAGCGCTAACCGTAGTATCGGATCAGCCCGTATCAAGGGCGGGAAGGTCAACAGTCGCAAGTCAACTGTCGCGACTGTTGACCGTCTGGACCGACGATGGACTCACCATCGAGGAATGGCAACATGCGTCACCGTGCGTACAGGTTACATGCAGCGACTCCGTAACAAGAAAGAAGTGCAGCAGTCATAGTCACTGTAGAAATGCCTGTAAAGCAGTTAAAATAAGGGAATGTACCCCTCAGAGTACATGGCTAGCAAGAGGAAACATGCAGGTATAAATATAGATATCAGTGTACAACAATTGCAAGATCAAGAGACAAGCAGGTGAGGTGCAACGGGCCGAAGCCCAAGAGCAGTGCAAAAACGCTGAAGATCACCAGACCCGAAGACCTTGGTGAAGACATCAGAAGTGTTGGCCCGAGAGGCCACGTAAGAAAGACGAAGCTGACCACGCTGCTGCGGCTCTCAAGCAAGAATATAGCGAAGAGCAATGTGCTTCTTCTGTGCTCCAGTCTCTGCTCGCGACACAAGGCAAGCATTGCCTTGTTGTCGACGTACAAAACTGGAGGAGAACGAGGCCGCTCACCCAAGTCGGTCAGCAGGTAGGTCAGCCAGCGTAGCTGCTGTGCAGCCATGGCCCCAGCGTAGATCTCGGCCTCACAGCTGGAACCAAGCACAGAAGAAGAACGAGTGGACCTCCACGAGACAGAACGAGAGCCAAGACTGAAGGTGTAACCCTGTGACAATCGCCGATTCGCCTGGTCGTCGGCCCAAGAAGCGTCGGAGTGTCCTATGAGTACCACTGGACCCTATCCTCCAAGCACGAGCCCCGTGCCCGATGTACTGCACAAGTAACGCAGTACCCTCTTCGCAGCATCAAAGTGCACCTTTCAGTGTCTACCGGGAGCCACGTAGCGAGCTAGGAGGCTGAGAGGGTACGCGAGGTCAGGTCGTGTGCATGTCATCATGTACATGAGGCAACCCACAAGCTCTGGGTACGGACCACTCGGCTCTACGGACTCGTCCGAAGGTGGAGCTGAGAGCGAGTGGCCGATAGACAGAGGAGTGGGAAGTGGCGAGGAGTACTGGAAGCCGAAGCGCCGTAGGACCTGGTGCACCATGTGTGACTGAGTCATGGTGATGGTGCGCCGTGCTCTGTCCCGAGTGATCTGCAAGCCAAGATAGCTATGCAGCTCACCCAGGTCAGTGCAGATGTGTCTCTCCTACAGCTCCGCCTTCACTAGGGCCAGCGCCTCAGTTTCAGCAGTAGCAAAAGCCAAGTCGACGACGTACACGAGAACGTAGAAAGGCGACAGGGTAGTGTCGGTGCGTAGAAACAGTGACGGGTCAGCAGAGGAAGGAGGAAACCCAAGAGCCGCAAGCGTAGTCCTCAGTGTGTCGTGCCACTCTCGGGGCGCCTGGCGGAGACCGTAGACTGGCTGCCGGAGGCTCCACTGGGTACCCGCAGGAAACGACCCAGTGAAGCCAGGTGGGCGGCGCAGCCAGATCTCCTCGTGAAGGCTGCCCTGCAAGAAAGCTGTGGAGAATTCGAGGGAGTGCAGCTCGTAGTTACGCTGTGCTGCAACGTGCACCAGCACCCGAAGAGTAGCCATCTTTGGGGTGGGGGAGAAGGTCTGGAAGAAGTCGACCCCCTGTCGGTGTCTGAAGCCTCGAGCAATGTAACGCGCCTTGAAGGCAGGCGGAGAACCCGGCGGCCGCTTCACCCTGAAAATCCACATGCCATCGACTATGTTCGCCCCAGGAGGAGGAACAATATCGACGTAGGTGCCTGTGGACTTCCAGGAAGCCATCTCTGCATCCATGGCTGTTTGCCACTGAGAGGAGTACTCACCCGCGATCGCCTCAGCGCAAGAGCGCGGGGTAGGGATGTCAAGTGCATCCAGGTCTCCCTCAGGGCAAAGCAGTGTCAACAGTATAGGCAGGAATGAATGACTAGGAAGCAAGGATGAGTACAAGTACTAGGTTTGACCTAATGTGTTGTACTCAGTAGAGGCTACCCCACTACAGCCTACACATGCAAATGTAATCTGACACACCCCCATAGGCAAAGTGGGGGAGAGCAAGGGGTCACAAGACCAGTCAAGAGAGGCAGAGCAAGCTCAGGGTGGATCACAACGTCACCACACACTCTGAGCACAAGCAAAGGGCCACAAGGCCAGTTCACATGCAGATATATATATGCAACAATAGCAGTACAGTGATCTCTACCTAACAGAGCAAGCAAGTAGGTATAGATATATAGATCACAGTACAAGCAGAGTCTACAGCAAGTGAGGAAACGTGGGCACAAGGCCCAGCAAGGTACAAAAGCGCTGATGATCACCAGGCGGAAGTGCCTTGGTGAATATATCAGCAGTGTTGGCCTGAGTGGCCACGTAACGCAGACGAAGCTGACCGCGCTGCTGCAGCTCTCGAGCCAGGAAGTAACGGAGAGCGATGTGCTTCGTTCTGTGCTCCAGTCTGTGCTCCTCACACAAGGCAATGGCAGCCTTGTTGTCGACGTACAGCACTGGAGGAGAACTAGGCCGCTCTCCCAAGTCAGTCAGTAGGTAGGTCAGCCAGCGTAGCTCCTGTGCAGCCATGGCTGTGGCGTAGATCTCAGCCTCACAACTGGAGCTGAGAACTGAAGACGAGCGAGTAGAACGCCAAGAAACTGAACCAGAGCCAAGGCTGAAGGTGTAATCCTGTGACGACCGCTGAGTAGCCTGGTCGTCAACCCAAGAAGCGTCTGAGTGCCCAGTAAGAACAACTGAGCGCCTCCCTCCAAGCACGAGCCCCATGCCCGACGTACTGCACAAGTAACGCAGTACCCTCTTCGCAGCATCCATGTGCACCTTTCGGTGCCGACCAGGAGCCACGTAGCGAGCCAGAAGGCCAAGAGGGTACGCGAGGTCAGGACGAGTGCAAGTCATCAGGTACATGAGGCAACCAACTAGCTCTGGGTAAGGACCACTCGGCTCTACGGACTCATCCGAAGGTGGAGGTGAGAGCGAGTGACCTGTAGCCAGAGGAGTGGCCTGTGCCGAGGACCAGGTGAAGCCGAAGCGCTGAAGGACCTGCTGCACCATGTGTGACTGAGTCAGTGTGATGGTGCGGCGTGCTCTGTCCCGGGTGATCCGCAAGCCAAGATAGCTTGTCAGCTCACCCAGGTCTGTGCACGTGTGTCTCTTCTGCAGCTCGGACTTCACGTGGGCGAGAGCCTCAGTGTCAGCAGTGGCAAAGACCAAGTCTTCGACGTACACGAGGATGTAGAACGGCGGCAGTGAAGTGTCGGTGCGCAGAAACAGCGACGGGTCGGCGGTAGAAGGCGAGAACCCAAGAGCCGCAAGTGTAGTCCTCAGTGTGTCGTGCCACTCACGTGGCGCCTGGCGGAGACCGTAGACCGGCCGCCGGAGGCTCCACTGGGTACCAGGAGGAAACGACCCAGTGAAGCCAGGTGGGCGACGCAGCCAGATCTCCTCGTGCAGGCTGCCCTGTAGAAAAGCAGTGCTGAAGTCAAGAGAGTGAAGCTCGTAGTCACGCTGAGCGGCAATCCGAAGATTGGTCATCTTCGGGGTGGGGGAGAAGG